AGTTGGTTACTAAAATATAACCATTTTGATAATGTTTTAGGAGAGACACTTCCGATCTATTATTGACACATTGGCGCCTTACACGAATGTGCATAAGTTCAACACATTCATCGTAGCATCAATACACCGCGTTATGATGCGATGGTTCTGTCATGTGCCGGAGAAAATGCGTTATAAGATCCAAAGGTAAGTTATGGGAAAGTAAGAAATTCCTTATTGGGATATCCGAGTAGCTTAGGATAATCTCTTTCATAGTTGTCATGTAAAATGATTAGTCTGCTTTTCAGTCATATCGAAAACTCTGTGCGAATGTCTCCATTTCTATCCGTACCCGACATGAATTCTGGAGTATACAGACAGCCAAGTGGTGATGGACGTCAGGTTAAGATTAAGTCTGCAGATTTGGCTTGGAGATTATTAATGTGGAGGTATTGAGGTGCCTGGAACTCTGTTCACATTAGGTGGCAACGGTATGCCTGAGACGCCACCCCCGATGGATGGAGCAGGTTCGAAGGAGGAACGTGGTCCAGATAGGGTTAGATACATGCTAAAATCACCTTAACAGTTTTTAATAGTTTTATCCGACTAGATGATCTATGAAAAACGAGTGAGTGGATCAGAAAAAGGTCACGTTTGAATTGCAAGAAGAAGATTCCATACACAAGAAATTGAAAATCTTTTTTTTAACGGTTGTGTTTGCTGTTGTCCATCGCGTTTTGATGCTAAGTCTATCTTGAAGATGAAGTTTTTCTCATTCCTTCAGCTTTTAGGTTCATGAGGAAATTTTGCGAGCGATGTCAGTGTTTTTCCATATTGGACAGATCGATAGTGATTGGGGCGATCCCAAGGTCAGATTTTCTTCCACGTCATGCGTTAATCCCACCGATTTTTCAAATTACACCTGGAATTTTTTAGACCCCTGATCGTCTTACTGAAGCTACACAAGAAAATTACTTTGTAAATGACTCGATTATCACAGTTAAAACGTTTGTAGAGCATGTAAAAGAACGTGATAGGAGCGATGGAGCACTGAAGGAAAGTGGTAATGTAGATCCAATAATTCATTATACTCGAGAATGCCTTTTGAAGTTTTACAGATGGTGACGACGTGTTTGTGTCGAATATGGAACATCCAAGACCATCTGAGAATGTGCAGCAAC